GCTGGGCAGAGCCCCACAGCCATGGTATAACTTCAGAAAGCACACACCAGGGCCTTTTCCAAATAATTGCTGAATGGCATAACAAGCAACAGACCTAATCCTATAATCACATCAGGTTTATCTGATACTGACTTACTTTCCCATTGAGCCCTTATCTGTGGCGAGAATCGGCATGCCAGTGGGGCCCGCAGGCAGCTCCTGTTACATCTCGGGACGCGGGCCGTGATTTGACGCCGTGATTTGACAGGAGGCGTGTGATAAAGGCTGGATAAGCACACACAGAGGACCTAACATCCACTTCTCCTCTTAGCCTCCTTCTGTTCTTTCCTTCCACCCACCCTCGGCCTCGAGAGGAAAAGTGTGGTGCACACCACTCGCCCGCCTTCCGTGGCAGAGGGAGCTGCTGCTGAGAGAGCAAAGCTCACTCTTCTCAGAGCTGGATTTTCCTGGTTCCCTCTGGCAGACTAGAAAAAGAAGTCGGAAAGAGGACAACGGTGTGGGGACACACGTATGGTCAGCAAGCCTGTCCTTTGATGAGGGAATTGCCTGGCCGAGCGGGAATGTCCACAGATTAGAACTCTGTGGTTCACTGACTGACCTCCATGGGCTCTGCAGGCCCTGGTGCTTGTTTGAGCTTACACACAGTACCCGGAGAGAGGATGCAGAAGTACCCCAGGTATGGAACACCCCAAGACAGCAGTTTACTTTTGTTTTAGATTTTTTAATTTCATGTGTATGAGTGTTTTGCCTGCAGGTATGAACGTGTACCGTGTGCATGCCTGCTACACACCAGGGTCAGAAGAGGGCCTCGAAAGAACCACCATTTGGGTGCTGGGAATTGAACTTGGGTCCTCTGCAAAAGCAACAGGTGATCCTACAAACTGAGTTACCTTCTCCCCAGCCCCAAGACAGCGACACTGTGGAGGGCCCTGTGAACCTGGACTCACAGAGCCCCAGCCCTGCTGCTTTCTAGCTGGGTAGCCTGGGAGCATAAACAACTTGTCTATGACTCACTTAGCTCATCTGAAAAATGGGAATACCAACACCTACTTTCACGGTGGCTGTGATCACTGAGGGGGCCAATGGTGATCAAGGGGTAAGGAAACACGTGGTTGATATAAAGTAGAGAGAAAGGATGACCAAGTTTTACCACTGTTGTCAAAAATATCTTCTCTGGGTTAGCCTCCCCTCTGCCCTCTTACCTGGTGTTGTTTGGCAGTATTAAGCAGACAGAAATAAAACTAGAGGAAGTAAGGTATAAAAGAGTCAGTGTCTAGGGTCCCCTGATGGGCATAACAATCTTACATCTGATGTGGTTTGACTTTGTGGGGTTTTGTTGGTGTGTTTTTTTTTTGGGGGGGGGTTCAAGACAGGGTTTCTCTCTGTAGCCCTGGCTGTGGCTGTCCTGGAACTCACTCTGTAGACCAGGCTGGCCTCGAACTCACAGAGATCCGCCTGCCTCTGCCTCCAGAGTGCTGGGATTAAAGGCGTGTGCTACCACCACCCAGCTGTTTTGTGTTTTTTAAACAGTGTTATTCTCTATTGTAGAAGAGCTAACCTCTGACTCAGTGGGTAGCTCAGGTTGGCCTCAATCTTATAGCAACCCTTCTGCTTTGACTTCCCAAGTACTGGGATTACACTATGAGCCACTGTACTGAACCTCATGTTCACACCAACAGCCAGGGCTGAGACACTGAACCTCGTGTTCACACCAACAGCCA